ATTTGTACATTTAAAAATCTCAAGTATTATGTTGCATTTCTAACAGCTCTGAATTGATCACTTTCATGAAGATAACCAAATGTTAACACATTAGATAAAAATTGTTATTAAAAGTTCTTACAGTCCTTGAGCTGTGCATCAAAAGAATACTATCATCATCCAGTTTTAAGATGCTGCTAAGAAGAATACTATATACCATCCTATGATGTTTATATACCATATGATTTAAGGTCTATTCTTGCCCTATTGAACCTACATCTTTAAGCAGAAAGTAGTGTTTTCCTTACTATAAAATGATCTTATTTTTCTTTGAAAACTATAATTACTGTACCTCACTAGAAAAAATTTTACTGGCTGATCATGATGCTTTCTTGTTACATGGTATTAAAGTTATTTTTTTAGCCTTAGTTTACTACTCCTAGATTCACTAATAGTTGGGACTTTTGATTTTTCTAATTTAAAGATGTATCAATTGCATTCTCTTGCTATGTTGTACATTTCAAGCATTTTTATTTCTTTACAGCTGCCATTTAAAAAAATCTTTAGTCCTATCAAGTGGCTGGATGGAAAAAAAAGTTTTAGATAAAGAATTACTATAACCTTATTCTCCATTTTTGTAGTAAATACTTGTTAATTATCTTTGTTTATGAAGATAATAGTTAATAGCTAAGCAGTTAAAATAAAAATTACAGAAGGGTGTAATATTCAGGGCTCATTGCATTGTGAAGTTCAGTAGATGTTAAGAAAATTCATTATGCTCTAAAAGGGAGATGGCTAATATGATATGCATGTTACGGTTTTACTATAGTCAAGTAGAAAAAGCAAGCCGTATACAAAATATTTAACAGGCCCCTGTCTCTGACATTGTGGCTCTACCCCAGGGAATCGTATTTTTCACCCCAAAAGTAGGATCATAGTTGCATGTGGCTTGATAGGTGCACATGCAATCAGGGATTTCCCCACATGCAAGTTGTGGAACTGGATGGGAAACTCACAGGCACAAAGGAGTTGTGCATACTGAAGAGCTAGAAATCCAGCCAAAAATTAAGCCTAAAGATAACACTTAATGTCAGGCTATTCTGCTTCACAATGAATAGCAATCAGACACCAGCCAAGATTTTCAAAAGTGTTTGGGGTGCCACAATTTTAAGATTCTTCACCTGACACCTTAAAGGGGCCTGATTTTCAGAGGATGGATGACATACACTTTCTGATAATTGGACCCTTTTATGGTGCCTCAGTTTGGGCACCCAAAATCACTAGTCACTTCTGAAAATCTTAACAGTGTCCAAAATTCACAAGGAAGGATAGACAGCCAGTGGTGCAAGTGTCTAAGATAAACAGCTGAGCAAAGAACAAAGGAGACTATGTTCTCATTGAGGATGTGGTTAAACCTTTTTGGCACCTGTAAATGAACTCCTACTGCTTGAGATTGATTTTTGTCACCCTATGAATCTGATGGCAGAGAGGGATGTTAAGAATCTTTTGTTGAACCTGAGAGCACACAGCCTAACTTGTGCTGGGTTTGGTAGTGAATATCCACCTTTGTTCAAGACTGTATTATGCAGAAATTGTACATAATGTTAAGTATTGTCACTGAAACAATTGTTTAAATGCTGTCTTTGTGTCTACTGATTTTATCTCCCTCCTGGAATCTGAAGCCTCCTGCCTACCTTGAAGTTGTGATAATCCCGAACATGTTGTGAGTAGAAATCCAAAACAAATCTAACCTTTTTCCAAAATAATCTCAAAACATGGACATATGTCCATGCATCTCCAAAGCAAATAAGCAAAAGCTACCTGCCAGCTTTCCAAACAGTCACTAGCGTTAGTACATCCATAGCCTGCTGCCAGGAAGGGATGAATGAAATAAAAGTGGGAACTACTGAGCAAGACAGAAAGTACCAAAAATAGGGATAATGAAACTTGACTTTTCTTTGTAAAGCACTGTGATATCTACTAATGAAAAGCACCAGGTAATATAGTAATCCCTAGCTCTTACTGTTTTGACTTGTATAAAGAAAATACTCCAGACATGGAAATTGAAAATAATGTCATTTAATTAGTTTGGACCATGGGTATTTTCATGCTGAATCAGACCAGTGGTTCTTCTATCAGTGTCCTGTCTCTGACAGGTGCTAGTACCAGATGCTTCAGAGGAATATGCAAGAAGCCCTGCACTTATGGAATAGCCAGCCCCCATGAAGAGTTTGTTTCTATCTCCCACTAGGTAGAGGTGCCCAAAAGCATGATTTAAAGATAACTAAGAATTTACAGTGCGGTCATATTAAACTTGTGGAATAAAAAGGTGTATTATCCATAGCGGGATGTGAGTGCAGGCAGGCAACCACTCCCCACCACTGAGAACAAGAGAGCCTCTTTTTAAAATTGAAGAAAAACATATTGTAGATCTCAAAGTTCTCCTGAATTTTCATAATTTGTCCTCTTATCCTCAGGCCCTAATTCAGGAAAGCATTGAGCATGAGTTGAAAGTTAAGCACATGCTTAAGTGCTTTGCTAGAATGGGCCCTCCAAGTGTATGGTTCATTCGTTTCCAAATATGTGATCACTGCCTATACACCACTACTTAAGCTAGCATGGCAATAACGAATGAGGAAAGGCAGCCATGTATCGCTGTGCACTTTTATTAAGAATACATCCATGAATTTTGTCTTAAATTTATGATGCAGTATGAAATAGGGGGGGGAGGATTTGGAGTATAAATTGTGAGGGAAAGTGAAAGAGTATACATGAAACATGTCTCATAATGTGGCAAAATATTCCAAAGATCTATCATCATTATAACTACTATGAATTTAGAGCCAAATTCCGCTCTCTTTTAGACCCATGTAAATCTGGAATAATTCCACATAAGTAACTGCTTTAGAGTGGTAGAACAAAGCAAAACCTTGTTCCTGATGTTTAATGTTTGTCTTAACTCTTGATTTACTAGTAGCTACTAAGATGACAGCAAAAGCAAGACGTGTTTACATTCTATTATCTTGTATATCAGCTGTTTATTCTGATTATTAGAGCTTGATTATTAGCTAAACTATCTTAAGTATATGATATGGGTTTTACAGTTTGGTATGTATATGTATTTAATTGGCATTATGTTGCAAAATTTTGAATATCTCTTAAAAGCACCTAGAATGCTGGCTCCAACAGAAATTATCCACAGCCTGCACAGAGATGGGTTTGATGGGCTTGTGTAAAAGAGCAAGAGAACGATCTTCCTCAGAGCTCCTTCTGGGGAGCTGATGGGACATGATGACAGCCCCACCATGCTTTTCCACAGGAGGAGGTATCTTACATGGAAAAGTTGAACTGTGCGGCAGTTTCAGTGCATTATCTCTATGGGGAAGAATGGTCCTCTATAGATCTTCCAAGTTTGCTAGTGAAATCTATAAATATTGAGGCACCTGTGATGACAATCAGTCCTCCTTCCCACTAAAGCAAATCACTCAAGAATTATGCTGCTATCAGTGACAACCCAACAGAGGTTGCGCCTTATGTCCCATTCTCAGGAGAGTATGAGCCCCTGGCATTATGGATTTTCTAATAGAAACTCTCCAAGTTTCAGAGTGGACAAGTGCCCCTGAAAGAAGCTGTCCCTTCTCACCCTGAAAACTCATAAAATGCCAGTGGGAGGTGTTGATGCAGAGAGACTTTCAGGGAAAGGGGAAAAGAAATAATGCATTTTAGGATGTGCTCCCCCATCTATGCTTACTGGCAGGTATTTGTAGCAGTACCATTCCATCTGTGTCTTGTAGTAGAATGTATGGATGATAGGTGCCAACTAGCTCCCTGAATTGCACAATTCACTACCTTAGAACTGCAGAGTTCCCTTACCTAGAACAAGGAATTTACCTCACATACCCAACATCAGTCTCATGAGCCTAAGTGCCATATGCAATAGGTTCTGTGATTTCTCCCTTAACCAGGCAAGATCTGGATCATGGAGTTGCCTCCGTGACTACATTACTAAGGGTAAATGAAGCTTTCAGAAAAGGGGGCAGTTCTCCAGCTATAGGACCTCAGGAACCTACAGACCTGATTTGTGGCTGGTTTGGTTTACTTGTAAAGCTATCTCTTGTATGAACAGAAAAATAGGGAAGAAAGTGAGAGAGGCAAGAAACATGAGGAAAGATTTGGGCTTAATTTGAAGTCCTAATTCTGACCTGCCACCTTCATTTAGTGACTTTATATTATATTAATAGCCAGGGAAAACTAAAATATAGAATTTATTAAAAATTCTCAAATCACATACAACTGTATTTTTGTCTCAGCTGACGGGGGACAGGACATGGACTAGTCTTTGTGTACAAGATGTCAACTCCTAGAGGTATAGATATTTTGGGAGGACTTTCTTCCTTTTGTGCACTGAAATTCCCATTCTCTCTAAAAAGAGTTAAGCATGTGCATCAAGAAAAAATAACTCCTTGGAGTAGAAGTTGAACATAATGGAAATCCAAAGAAATCTAAGTAACATACATATTGGGGTTTTTTAATGTTTTAAGTAAATGGTAACTGAATTATTCTAAAAATACCAATGACATCTATGTTTTAAAAACTTGCATATGTATAGTTGTGTATATTAATCCATATTAAAATGTACCTAATACATTTAAAGCTGTGCATGTGAAAGGGCAGCCAGTGCCAGTACACAGAATTGTACATTGAGTCCACTTGAAAAAAAATCAGCTATGGCTGCTGTGTTTTGTTCTATAAAAGCAAGGTCACTATCTGCTAACTGCATACTGCTACGAATAATTCACAGCTGATGTCTGTGGGTCTTTATAATGCCTTCCAGTAGGGGGTACCTTTTATTTATGGCCAGTATTTTCCCAGATTAAGATAGTTATGTCAAGTGCTCTGAAAAGGGAATACCTTAGCCAAAGGAAGATTGTTTTTACACTCATGAATTTTTTATGTCCACAATGCAAAATCCACAGCTTTGCTATGCAGTAGAATGTTATTACCTCTCTCAAAAAGCTTACCTTATCCTTCCATGCACATTGGACTTACTGCCAACCGAGTAAGAAGCCTGGCACATCTTTTATAGTCTGCCATGAAAAAAATCATAAATGCAATAACTTAATGACACTGCTAAAATCACTGATTTTGGTTTCAAAAAATAAAATAAAATTGATAGAGGTGCTGTGCAAATTATCATAATTAACTTTAGTAAGTACTTTAATTTAAAGACTTAGGTTATAACAGGGTAGACCTTGGCCCCATATGCTTAAGAATTACCATTCAAATATTAGATGCCTATTTGCTGTGCATTTTCTTTGCAAATTCTTTGGTTCTGTGCACAAACAGCAAAATTGTGCATGCAGACAGCTTGTGTGTATGAATATATGGCCAGTTATACATCTAACTAGCTATGGTGTGCACAAGTACGGGATCTGAAGCTGCAATCATGGCATTTGATTGTGCAAATTAGGTGTTTGAAATGGCACTGTCCCATCATTGAAATGCAGCTCTCAGTGAACTAATACTAAGATAAATAATAGTGCAGTCCTCCAACTAATTGTCCTTCTCGAACAATTGAGGAACAGAGCAATAAAGTCTTAGAGGCTCAGATCTTCAAAGGTATCTAACTCTTATTGAAATGAATAGAAGTTAGGTGTCCAAATATCTTTGAGTTCATAGAATTAAAAGAAAAGACTAGTTACATCTTGTTTCCTCCGGCAGTATAGGATAGTTCCCTACAATATATTCTTTAGATCTTTGCATAGTCTTGTTACACAGATAAGAAGTGGTGGTGTTGTAATGAGTAAAACTGAAGCAGTCACGGTAGACAATGTTTCATACCTACAAAGTTCAGTCAAGTGATCTGTTTTGTGTACAGTACAATCTGTGCAGTGCAGATGGAAAAGGAATTATTCAAAGATTGCTCACGTGCTCAGTTAAAGACCTCCTGCAGTCCTACAGCTAGCAGCCTGGGTTACAGTTAAAGTGTCAGTAGTTCTTGATATATAAAACCTGACCTTTAAAATCTATGATACTACCAAACCACACAAAGCACTAGGAAATGTACTGGAGGAAGGCAAGAGGGTTTCAAAGATGCCATTGAGGGCATAATTGGAAGAACAGGAAGTTGCCAAAATGTAACATGCCATAATTTGTCTGTAGAGTATGTGTTACAAGTGATGATGCATGAAAAGGAAATAGCCCCACTTGGCGTTCAGATCCCAGGTTAAGTTTGCAGCACTAGCAATTAATTTTTTTCTGGTAAACTGAGTGCACTTGATTTGGAGACATCAAGGGACAATAAACCTGGAATCCTAGAAAGCAGTTTTAACCATCATTTTACACAGTATATCCACTGGAAATTCTGTGCCTCAATTTTTTCATCTCTAAACTGAGAATGATAATACTTACCTCACAGGCAGGAGGTGAAGATCAATAAGTATCCATAAAGCACTCTGAACCCTTTAAGTGAAAGGTAGTGTATAGTTGCACAGTATTGCCACTATTATCTCCTGTAGCCACCCCAATTAATAGCTTTCTTTTTTTTTAAAAGTTAGCTTTGGTTTATGGCACTTACAAGCTGGGATGGTGCAGTCTCTTGTATTGTGATAAAGCCGATGAAAGTGTTTACTGCATTTTGGACTAAAATAGAGAGGACCTGAAATACAGAAAAAGAACAACTCATGAGTCAACACAGCACAAAAGGCCTACCAGAAGGGAAGTGGGGCTTAGGTGGTATGTGTATGAAATGATGGATACAATGCAAAATCTAAATTTACCTGTTAAATGCTTTAAAAACTTGTCTTTCATCCTCAAATCTCTAGGAACTATTTCTGTTGGGGGGAAAAAAAGTAGTAATTATACTCCACTGCAAATATACTTGTCCAGGATGGTAGGGCAACCACAGGAGATGCCAAAATTTTGCTCAGCTGAGACTCAAAATAACTGTTTACTAGGAGATTGAGAGCCATAAAGTGGAACAAGTTGCAGCTGCCTTTATCTTTCATATAGCGAGACAGCTAAAAGGACTATGGAGCATTACAATGCTGGGACCGTTAGTGTCCAGCAGCCCCACCACAATCACATAAAAATGAGAGTAAGCATGAGTCACTGTCATTGTAGGGCTCTGTGGGCCACATTTTGGCTACCCCTTATCTAGGTCTTTAAGATCACTGGTGCTTAGAAACCGTGCAGACTCTACCAGGGGTAAAGGTTCAAAGACACACCAGGGAATGCTCTCTGGGCTGCTCTGTGGCTGTCTATGCAACATTCTCCTACAAGCACCTGCATGGTTTTGTCACACAGGCAAGTATTGACAAGCACTATCTGAAATAACTATTGTGAACATGAGATCGAATTGGTATATTTACAGGAAATCTAGAAACAGTCCTTGTTTTATCTCTAGCATTAAATAAAATTCACAGGAAAGGAATATAAAAAACAAATTGCTTTTCCCCACTCTTGTGGTTTGCTTCTCTGGATTTTGTGTTCAGCAGATGCCAAAATGAAACTGGTTTACTGAAATCCATGTTAGCGTCAACCCTTGTTTGTGTCTTGTTTTACAGTTATCTTTGATTGCTTTCAGTTACTAACTCTATGCTGACACATTGATTGCATATGATACTGTACTTTATTTATTTGACCATAAATGCCTACACAGCCTTTTCATTCCCCAGGCACCTCTTATCACATTTAAATCAGAGAACATTTCCACCGAGATCTGATTCACTGGTGAGCTTAGAAATTTCTCAACAGTCATTCTTCGTTTACTTCTAACTTTAGTCAGTCTGAGTAAAATTTACCATATTATATTTGACCTAATTGTGTCATGACAAGCATTGAAAGCTTACATGCTTCTCTCAGAAGTTTCCCATGGGACAGATGCGCTGGGAAAGTGATGCTAAGACTGAAATAAAGGAGGGCTCCAAGCAATAGTTTCTTTTCAGTGGCAGCAGCTTTTCTGGGAATAAATTCCATTATAATAACAATAATAATAAAACATCCCTTTCAAGAGCCAATGACACTTGTACCAACTAGTCTGTTTCTGAAGTGATTTTCTCATTGAGCCATATTCATCAGTACATGGCAGATGCTTTGCACTGATTTGCTTATGCAGGACGGCCATAAACTCTGCTTAACCTCCTTGTAAAACTGGGTTTACAGCTGGCTTTGCTTAACTACTCTGTGCAACTGTAGCAAGAGTGCACTGGTTACTTGGCCCATTAAGCTTGTACCATATATTAAGAAAAAGGAACCAGTTCTTATTGTTCTGAGTTTATGGGGAACTGTTAGGTTGTTTTATTTAATATCTTCACTAATTATCTAGATTAGGGGCTAAAAATCACATTTTAATGACAGTCATGACACCAAATTAAGAGCAGCTGTGAACACTTTGAGTACAAAGAAAAGATACAAAGGGGTCTAGAGACATCAAAAGAGATGGGTAGAAAATAACAAAATGAGATCCATCTCGGAAAGTGTAAACTGAAATTTCTAGTGAAAAATAATCCCAAACCTAGATACTCAAGGGAAGAGGAAAATTGAGAGGCAGTTGTTCTGTTTAGGAGAGATGGTGAACAACAAACTAGACATGAATTTACAATGCAATAGGGAAGCAAGAAAGGCCAATTCAATTTTGAGCTGCATGCATAGAAGCAGGATATCATGAAACAGGCATATAACTGTCCCTTCTCTACATCAGTCTGATGTGACTGCATCTGGGATATTACATACAATTCTGAAAAACCTTATTACCAGAAACAACACTGACTGGAGAGAGCTTGAAGAAAAGCAACTCAAATTATTAGAATGGTGTAGGGGCTGATTTAGGAGGAAAGAATTAAAATCTATGGTGGTGAGGGACAAATGATGAAATTGACAAATATTTGAAAGGTGCAAGTACCAAAAAGCTAAAGGAATGAATAAGGTTAGCAAAAAGGGGAATGACGCTGCCTAGCAGGAAAAACTTCCAGGTGTGGGATCTATTAGGTTGTGGAGTCTCCCCAGAGAGATGGCAAGATGGTCAAATCCAGGGCCATTTAAATAACAGTATAATCCACAAGACAGGCCCTTGGACTAGATGACCTAGGATAAACAGGACTTTTCATCCCTGATTTTTTTACCCCAGTCCATCTCACTGTTCTTCTTTATAAATATAAAGTGTATAAAACCAAAACTCATGCAGCTCTGGCTTTGAACTTAATGCATTTCTGAAGTACATTAGACTGAAGTGAGAGTGGAGTTCTACGCTGGGATTTTCAAAGCCAGTTTCTTGTGTAGGAATCCTCTGTATTTTTGAAGCAAGTCTGCAGATCTCCTGAGGGGGTTTGCACCTCCTATAAGAACTAGCACAGTGATGCCTGATTTCCCCTTCAAGGGGAGCAAAGTTGCCAGGAAAGGAAAGGAGCAGACTTACCAGCTCTCTGCTCGTCCTGGTACTCTCCATAATCAGCTACTTCTCTTCGGTCTAAAGTATAATCGTGGTTGGAGAAGTATTGCACCCCGTTGTCCTCTTCCATGTGGTACCTTTTCAGTTCCTGAATAATCTCCATGATGAGATTGAAGAGGCTTTGCCTGTCTTTTAGGTCTACGGAGTCAGTTCTCTCTTTGCAATAACCTGCTGACAACATTAAGAGCACCAGCACCAGCAGCACAGGAGACCTCAGTCCACTCATTGCAAGTCTGAACTGGAGAGTGAATGATCAGAGGAAAAGAAATGATCCACTTTGGGGGGACTCCTATTTCACTGAAAGAGAAAAATGGGGGTGGGGGAAGGGCGAGTCACGGGGGTGAAATCAGAAATACTACAGGGGAAGAGCAAAGAGGCTACTTTGCACATTATGTAATCAGGGTGCCTTGTTTCCTCCCTCCCACCACCTCCTTAGATTTTAAAATGGACCAGATTCCCAACTGGTGCAAATTGGCGGGGCTCAAGTGAAGTCAGAGGATTTGCACCAGTTGAGGAGATGGCCCAATCTGCCTTTTACTTGCCCTGCCAGCAGCAACTTTATTCTCGCCTGCAGTGCGGACTAGAGAGCCGCTCAGCCGCCCGAAAGCTACAGGAGTCAAAGTACTCCCATGCTGCTTTCACGTTTTACACAGTCCAGCCAGTGCTGACTCCGAAGTGCCCAGGCAAGGGGGACTCGCACAGATCCAGAGGAAAGGCATTCTTAAAAGTCACTGTAGCCTACACCGATGGAGAGAGCGAGGCGGCTGCATGGAGGAGCGCACTCCTAGGACTCCCCTGGCCCTTCCTATCCCACCCCCACTTCTTATCTCCAGCGTGGCAGCAGAGGGTAATCCCTGAGCGCTGAAACACAGCAGAGTAAATCCCGGCGGCGGGCAATTGTGTAAACAGAGGCGTCTGTCCGCCCAGCGAGAGGCAGTAGGGAACAGCCCGCTGCGGAAACTTTTCCAAAACTTGCACCTTTAACACCCGCTCTGACTGCTACAGCCACAGGCGAGCGTTCATTGCCCAGCCAGTCCAAGCGCTGGCGTGAGTGAGCGCTGCCCCCGGCATGCGCAGTCACCGCTTCCCGCTACGGCAACGGGCGCTGGGGACCCATTGCCCAGAGAGGCAGCCTGCTCCCCAGGGGCTTGCAAACGAGCGGGCTGTGCCTGCTGCCCTGCCGGAGCCTGGGGACCCAGCGCAGTCCGTCCCTCCTGCCCTAGGGAAGTCGAGAAGCTCCTGCGCAGTCTCACCGCAAGGACCCGGGCACGAGTCTGCCCCAGCAGAGGGAAGGAAGGCACGTGGGAGCCCAGCGGCGCTCAGTCCGCTCCCGGCTCCTAAAGCACCCGGAGCGGGGAAGGCGCCAGCTTCCTCCTTGCCTCGCACCTGCCTTGCCTCTGTCGCGTAACCCTCCCCCGCCGGCCGGCAGCAGCCCCGCGGCTGATCCCTGGCGCGCCCGGCTCTCCGGGTCTGACCTTCGCGGGAAGCGCTTGGCCCCAGCGCCGCCCCGCCAGCCCGGCACCGCCGTTACCTGTCTCTGCTTCCCCCGCGCCGGCCCGGCCCGCCCTCGCTCGCTCCCCCCACGCAGGAGCAGCCCGCGGTGCCGGAGTTTCCTTGTTGCCCCCGCCCCCGTCCCGTCCCGTCCCACAGGCTGCGTCCACAAGCTACTCCATGGCGGCCAGCCCCGGCGCCGCCGCTTATAAAGGCTACGGGACATACACGAGGCGGCGGCTCCGGCAGATGGGATCGAGTCACTCGCAAGTGGGAGGAAAGCAACAAAAGTCCGCTTGGCAACCCGGCGAGCCCCCCCTTCCCCAGTGCAGGCTCGCTCGCTCCTCAGCTTCGCGCCGACGTAAGGAGCCGGTCCCGAGTGGGGCTGTGCCCCTGCCTTTAACGGGGAAAGCGCGGAGGCGCCTCTGAACTAGGCATCGCCCGCCGCGCCGAGCCCCGTCCGCCGGCCCCCCTCGGACCCCGCGCCGCCGCCTGCGCGCCTTGGCTGTCACGCGGGGGGAAGCTGCGTGGTTGCCAGGAACTTTCTGTCCGTCCGTCCGTCCGTCTGTCTGGGGCGGAGCTGCGCGGCACCTCAGTCGGGAAGTCTGCGGTTATGTGGCCGCGGGAGCGTTGGGTAGGAGCCGGCATCCGCCTCCCTCAGTTATTCTGGTAAAGGGTAATTCTCCAGCGCTAGGAGCCGTGACTGGAAATCCCCCCCCCCCTCCCCCAGCCAGCCCGGGGAGCGAGGCGCCGCGATCCCGCGCGGACGCTGTCCCAAGCGGGGCCGCTCCCGTCCCCGTCCCCGTCCCCCTCCCCACGGCGGGGAGTGCCGCGGGGCAGAGAGCTTTCCCCCTGCCCCCTTGAGACACCCAGCAAAACCCTGCCCCCTAAGTCTGAATCCTGCCAAATTAATACTCGCCCACCCAGCCTCAAAAAAACGCACTAAAAGGGGGGCAGGGGCTGATGCTGAAACATGATCCAGCTGAACTTTTCTGTTTGCTTTTACTGCGTGGCTAAACCTCACCCTCGCAGCAGCGAACAGACACCTATCCAGTCGGATCGAGCCGGGGGGGGGGGGGCGCATATTCTCCACGCAGGGGAGGGGACGCCCCCCAGCGCCTGTGTACCTCGATCGGTAGGTGAAGCTAGGAGCTGGAAAGCCAGAGCGGTCCCCTCGCCCTCTCCCCTTCTCCTGCTACACTTGTGTCAGGCAAGCCGTGAACACGGTGCCATCCCCTAGGCAGGCGCTGACAACAGCGACACGTAGTGGCAGCGAGTGTAATTAAGCTCCGGGGAGCGTTCGCTAGAGGGGGTGGTCCCGCTGCAAAGTGAAAGTGACTGGGAGGCCGAGGTGAAAGAAACGGAACGAGATCAGGGGCTGCAATTAAGCCGAGCCCTTCCTCTAGAAGCCATTCCCCCGAGCCTTCCTTTCTCTTGGGTGTACATTCCAGATTGTGCATGTAAACTTCTTCAGGGCGTGCGAAACTTTACAATAAAATTGTTACAATGGCTAGAGTACTGCTCTGCTGAAGCCCGGTGAACGTGCTTTCCATGCCTGAGTCTAGTTCGCTTCTTTGTATCCATACGGTGTGTGTGAGCGAAAGAGAGTGTGTGAGGGAGAGAAAACTCCGTATTTGTGTAGGTGTGTATATAGCACTTTTCATCAGTACAGCTTAAAGCCCTTCTCACACACACACATACACTCACACGGAGCAGAGGGGATTTTCTTTTCATTAAACCCTACAAGTAGTTTATATATAGGGTGACCCTAGACCCGGTTTGGTTGGGACAGTCCCTTTTTTAAGCGCAGTTCCGGCCTTCCTGACTTTTTTGGCAAAAGTAGGCATTTGTCCCATTTGCTCTTGCCAACTTGATCAGTTGATCACAAGAGCAAATGCCCACTTGTGCCAAAAAAGTGGGGTGCGGAGGAATGTGTGGGGGAGCAGCAATGCCAGCCCCATACAAGAGTGGAGGCAGAGCTTTGGGGGGGGGGGGCAGACAGGGCTTGTATGAGCAGCGACAATCCCATCCCCATATCTACTCTAGTGACATCATCAGAGGACCCAACCACATCAGCCACACCATCAGAGGCTCATTCACCTGCATGTCTACTGATGTTATATATGCCATCATGTACCAGCAATGCCCCTGTGCCATGTACATTGGCCAAACCGGACAGTCCTACGTAAAAGAATAAATGGACACAAATCAGACATCAGAAACGGTAACGCACAAAAGCCAGTGGGAAAACACTTCAATCTTCCTGGACAGTCTAGAACAGATTTGAAAATAGCTATACTTGAACAAAAAAACTTCAGAAACAGACTTCAAAGAGAAACAGCAGAACTAAAATTAATTTGCAAATTTAACACCATTAATTTGGCTTGAATAAGGATTGGGAGTGGCTGACTCATTACAGAAGCAGCTTTGCCTCTCCTGTAATTGACACCTCCTCATCTATTGTTGGGAGTGGACTACATCCACCCTGATCGAATTGGCCCTGTCAGCACTGATTCTCCACTTGTGAGGTAACTCCCTTCTCTTCATGTGTCAGTATATTTATGTCTGCATCTGTAACTTTCACTCCATGCATCTGAAGAAGTGAGGTTTTTACCCATGAAAGCTTATGCTCAAATAAATCTGTTAGTCTTTAAAGTGCCACCGGACTCCTTGAAACTTTCAAGTCACTTTCATAGTATTTCCAATCCCAAATGTTCAAATATCATGAATCAAACTCACCAAAAATCATGATATTGGCTTTAAAATAATGAGATTATGTAAAAATAATAGATCTGGTGTTCTTTTTATTTGAATTCTGCTTTTTGAGCCTTTAGGATGCACTGGGGTCACATTTTTAAGTTTTCTTCACAGCCACGAGGGCTAGAAACTTCAGAAACTTTTTGTTTAAGAATGAAGGCTGAAATAATCACATATCCACTTGACTCCAGCAGCTGGGGCTTTAAGGAAAACAATAATGATCATGAGACTCATGACAAAATCATGAGAATTGGCAACACTACTTTCACTTCTGTTTAAAAGCTAGTTACTTTCCAGAAGGGTCTTAAACACAACACTACAGTGATTGAGTTGCAGTTTTCACAGGAGAACATTTAAAACCAAACATCAAGAAAATTCCACATTTTAAAGTTGAGAAAAAAATTGAGACTTCTGAAGTACATCAGGGCCACTGCAGGCAGGAAAGGAAAATAAACAGGCACAGGAGCTCTAGGCAGCTCTTCCTCTTGAAAGAAAGTTGGAGGGTCGAATCGTCTAGTCTTTAATCAAGTAAAACTTCTATTGCCATCAGGGCTTCCACTCATAGATATTAACATCACAGTAAACATGCAATACTATATGGTCAATAACTGTACACTTCATACTTAAATATCTTAGCCATCTTATCCAGAGTTACACATTTTATACACATTGGCTCAGGGACTACGTTTTCTGGCACATTCTGAACAGTGCTGAGCACAGAGATGGTGCCCAGTGAATAATACAAATCATTGCAATAATCATTGACATTATGCACTCTGTGGATACAATTTCTGTTCTTTGTTCTGGAATTGGCCTGAATCCAGCTGAAACTCCAAGAATTTGATGTATAATCACATCTGATACTCAGATGACACTTTCTCATTCCTTCCTTTTCTCAAACTCAGAACAAAAAATGACAAAACAAAATGGTTTTCAGTTAAAATCTAAAATTGCACAGCAGGCATTGCTGTACAACTCACCCTGGGGCAGAACCTGCCACCCATTGGCAGTTAAGTGCTCTCCTCTCATCTGACTCTCATTCT